GAGTAATAATAAGTCCTTTGTGATATTTTTAGGTATTTATTTGCCGGTGCAGTCTGTGTGCGCTGTTTTGATATACTGCCATACAAATTTTAAGAAACGTTGAATAAGATGTAAAGACAGACAAGAGTGAAAATGTGTTTTGCAGTGGGATATGACTCAGTTCTCTTCGTATTTATTACCCTGCTCTTTCGAGCTCGAAGTTACTATAGAATAATCATAAATTCGTAAATTTGGAGGTGTCCATCAACGTCCTGCAGAGCTCCTGGAAGCTACAAGTGAAAAATACATTCTGAAGTCTGCAGACTTTTTTTTCTTTGTTTTATTTGGAGGAAAGCGGAATTTATGTCTAGCGGAGGGAATATGGTATTGTGTCTATTTACAAAACGAGGATTAAAAGTTAACTAGTAATTACCGGTAAAAGTAACTATGAATTTCATCTAATATTCTTCTTTCAAGTTAGGTTTTATCCATTTACGAAGTTACTGGAACCAAAAGTGTGGATTTTTACGTAATTTTACAGTCTTGAGACACAGTTTTTCTTCAGAATACAGTATTTACCCTTTAAAGCCTAGTGATATATGTCTGTATATATATATACGGTGCTGTATATAACAGGGGTTTCCCCTCCATTGGACTTGCAGCTACCACGGACCGACTGACACGTGACAAATTATTGCAGTGGCTTGGAAGTGCATGCGTCTTTGTATATGCAGCACAGACGAACAGGTAAAGGGCTACAGACGCGTATTGTGGTTGTTCAACAATTTTATTGTGGCTGAACTCAGTACACAGTGAAGATCCGAAATAACGCAGGCTTGCGTGACTTTACTCAGTATATTTTGATGTACCATGCACGATAACACGTCCAAAATTAATTTACTTTCTGCTGTCATTTATTTATACAATTAAGTTAACCCATATAGAAAGACATGTATAAAATACAGGAAGAAAGAAGCTAAAAGAAGGAATATTGAAAGAAATGAAATACCGGCATTGTAATCGTGTAATTAATCTCTAGATAGAAAATAGGAAATATATGTGTGTAGGTGTGTTGTATTTTAATACAACTGTGAATTATATATGCCAGTATACAAGAGGTGTATACACTTCGAATAGGCACACTATTTGGCGTGTAGCTTCCAGTAATTATTCAGTTTGTCCCATAAAAATGGCAGACATATAGCGGCCTTCCGATCTGAAAATCGTTCCACTCGAGCAATTTCATAAATGGATAATAAATTTCGGCTATTGTCAGCACAATCGATAGATTCAAGTTCCAGACCAATTTCCCCCTCTCTCCTGACGTTATACATATTTCAACGAGGTCGTAACGGTATTGGAGTTAACGTGAAGCCAGCCGGTCCTAGAGGCTGAGCACTAAAACTCTGGTTTCACGGATCTTTTTGTGCCGAGGTTCGATACTCGAGTCACTTGTGAAGCTCTTGCATTGATTTGCTTGTAACTGCTTTCTTTCTCCGTGTTATTATTTGGCTATATCTTTCTCATTTCCTGCACTTCTTATGCGCCCCACGGACCAGTCTCAAGTCTGTTCCAACTTAAATCCGTAATTGTAATTGTCACTATAGGGTGTAGACTTATGTCCCATAGATTCGTAATAAAGCTCATGCTATAGGAATATGTTACATTGGTGATGGCTGTCTTCTGGGGTGTTTCACAGTGTAGTCTGTTAGAAGTTTACCGACGTTTCAGAGGTCCTTGCTGCCTCCATCATCAGAGCGACTAGCCATCTTCAAACTCACCGCCGTGGAAACCTCGAATTCTATGTGCAAATGGATGAACCGTTTCATTTTGTTATGTTGTAGCTGAATGAATGTTAAGATACTATCGTATCTCGTCGGTATTAATGTTGTGGTAACAGGTTTTTCAATTGAGACTTTTTAAAGATTTTATATCCACTACTTGAATTTTTACTCGCATGAATTTTTAACTCGAATGCCACTTCGACGCCGACAAGAGAACATAGCCGTTACTTCATAAAATGTCAATTTTGTCTTTATTGTAAGTTGTCACTTTGATTTTCTGTTTAGCGTCGTACGTTTACTCTGCGATTGATGTACCTTTTCCATCGCAGTCTTATTTCATAAGAAACGTCACATGACAAGTAGTTAATTTTGAAACTTGGAAGCTAATTGAATTTAAAGGCGTGCAGCGATGATTTTAAAATGTTCAGTGTTTGCTAATTGTTGGCCAATTTACGCATTAAATTCCTTGCCAAGGACTTTATTCCAAGGACTTGTATTGTGATAGGACATGCTGCTAAACGAGTTGAAATATTGATTCCTGGGGTATTCGGAAGATGTGTTGCAAGAACTGTTTCCTTCCTTCTAAACTTTCATATTTTTCAGGTGCAGTATACAGACGATGGCTGGTTACGTATGGCTTAGAGCAGACCCAGGCTTTTATAAGCGGGATTGGCTCGCGCGTTCTTTGCAAACTGTGATATTTGCAAGTACAGTTGGGAACAAGTGAAGGCAGTCAGCCGCGGTTTGGGTTTTACTGCTTCTTTGCTGGAAACAAAGTCTTGACTTCAGTGAAACTTCTGCTACAGCAAGAGTTTTAAGAAGTCGTAAAGGGGTCGGCTGGAAGGGAGGGAATGTAACTTTTTTAATGTCTTTCGGGGCTGTAGCGGTTGGGAGTGGGGGAAGGAGGTAAGTTAAAAGCGAACAAACGAAACTTAAAACCATCTGCACTTGCTGCTTCTATTTTATGTATATATTTCTTCTTTTCAATCCTCTCCATCTTCTTTTTTCCTTGGTGATGTTTGGAGGTCAATTTGTGCAAAACTTCGCGTATTATTATTACGTTAGAATGCAGGAAGACTTTGCAAATATACCACTCTGTAGCCGTATCAGTAAGTCTTCATTGCTTGTTCGAAGGATTTGGAGATTTACCATACTATGCTTGATCATACGTGTTTGACCTCTTTTAGACGACACACAATAGAACTGAGAAAAAAGCCGTAACAGACTTACGATCTTTTTATGCTGCTTGTTCGAATGGAATCTTCCTGTTACGTCGATAAGGTGTGGTCAAGGACGTATTTAGAAGAAAATGGATTAATAGTGAGATTTGAAGTTCTCACTTTTCAGGAACCCCTGAAGAAGGTCACAGTAAGGTTCTCCGAGACATTGGTGTGTCCACATGACCTTACCACCCACAATGACTGTGGTTTCACTGATCGATTCATGGTTTAATAGTACACTAAGAAAATGAAATAGGTTAATATAACATATTCCAGATAAATAATATTTAAGAAATCAGTTCATAATTCAAAGAAACTCATGAATATACTTTGTGGGGAAAAAAGCAGACTTAAGTGATTTTAAAGGAGGTGCTATATAAGTTTAACGGCCTCTCAGTTGTAATGTTCGGTGGAAATTCAAAGTGTGGACTAATGGGAAGAATGAGAAAAATTATTATCGTCAGTTAATTAATGAATCACCTCGGTTGTTTGATTTACAGAGTGAAGCAACAGCAGCCTCTTGGTTATTTAATTTCTGATTACTGGTGAAAGAGCAATGCAAACTGAAACGCGTGTCGCTGTATCAGATTTTCAGCAAGAGTGATAACACAATCGATAATCACGATTCGATTAATCACTGGGCTGTGTGTTTCAGATAGGCCACATCGAGGTAACCTGACTGTTACTGGACGCTTATCTGGTAGGGTAGCGTAGTAATACAAGATACTAAGTTTGAGTTTCTTTTAATTTTGCTCGGTCTCACCAGACTAATGTCGGTACCGGAATTTGAAACACAAAAGATCACATGCTTCCGGAACATTCATGATCACCTTTGCATGTCGTTCGAATGTTGTCAAGTAACCAAATAATAAATAACGCAACATACTTGTTTTGCACTCCTGCTTCGTATTCGAGAAATTTCGGCTGTAATGTCTCAGGTTTTTCGTGTTTTTTTATGTTTCAGTTCCTCCAAACAAATACTGGGATATTACTAAAAAAATAGGCTACGACTGTTTCCTACTATTTATTTTTCAATTAATTATTCATTAATGACCCTATTATTCGATGCTGTGTAGTCTGTGGCCACTGACAGCGTCGTCAGATAAATCATAGACATGAGTAACTCAATAGAATTAACCACTGACCTATAGATACTATCTAAGGTCCGCAGTGAGGAAGTTTGCATCATTCTGGGGATCGAAACAAAGCATGTAATTATGTAATTAGTACTCTTTACCTGATGGGCTAACGGGACCCGTGGTTAAGTGCCCTTTTATTTAAAAATAGTATTAAACAGGGAACTGGTCTAATTAATGTCTAGGTCTCCATTTTTTACATGTAAAGAAAGTAATAAACTTCACTATGACAGTAATAACAGTCAAAAACTACGCACTAAATAAATGCGGGTCGTGAAAATGTTAGCCACACACAGGAAGCAGTATTCTTATGGTCAGTAACATAGCTTAGGGTTGAATGTATCTAAACAGCGTTATCATAGCAACGGTTATAATAATTTATGCATAACAACATAGTTAAAGGGATGAAATTTGCGAGTCATTTTGTTCGCGTAGAGAATATGAGAAATGCATAGATACGTAAGCTGATTTTAGTTGTATTAGGTCTACATAAAGGAAAGAAACCACTGAAGGAACCTAATCGTAGATGGGAGGATCATGTTAAAATGGATCTCCTAAAAAGTATGGATATGTGGGCTGGTTTGAGCTGGCTCGGAGTATGGTACGAGGTCGGCGTTGTTGAATATGGTAATGAACATACGAGTTTTATAATTGTTGGTAATTTCTTGGCAAACAGAGAAAGTATAAGATTTTTAAAGAACCTCTAGCATGACAAGGGCATTCTAGAACCGTACATTAAGTTTTCTGTACATTTTTTAGTTGTTGAATTGGTTGCGCCTGTTGTAGTGACTCATTAATCATTTCGTGGAGGTCTTTAAGGGGGCATTATGACACGTTAGGAACATGTGACTGCTCTTTAAGCAAGTGAAGTTCCGGATGCTTGTCAGTATCAGCTTGTACTGTTTACTACGCAGCTCTAGCATGTTGAAAATTTGTCACGGTTTGAATACCGGTAAACACGTAATAAGAAGAAGTATATATGGCGAGTGTTAAGATGTACCAGATGGTACAGTACACATAATTACACGCGGTTTCATTTGTTTTCTCCCTTGTATGTCGCATGTAAACTACGCCGAGCTATATTGTTAGTAGAATGGATCAGTACTATAAGTATTATGTATATTAAATAGTAATTTGCGTTACTGTTTAGGGAGCTTAAGTGACAACATTTACGACATTGATGCCCCTTCGACATTCATCCGGGGACGTTTCTCAACCATCAAAGCAGATGGTGCCATCGCAGCGTACAGACGTCCATCAACCGTCAAAGTATGCACAGTAAGTTAATTAGTCAGGTACCTTGTCAATTGATTTGGCACTGTGTAAGATCGATCAGCTGGGCTTGTAATCCTGGGGTCCCGGGTTCGATTGCCGGTGGTGCCCAGATTTATAACTTGTGTTGGGCAAGGCCGTGGTCTAGGCATCACGGAGTTTTTCTCTGAGGCTTCCCCGGTTTCTCCGTGGCATCCCAACAATTACTCCATTTTTCATCATCATTTTGTACTAAGTACACAGAAGAAGGCAATGGCAAACCACTTCTGGATCACTTGCCTAAGAAACATATGGACAGGTCCCTATCAGAGGGATCTTGTTCATAATGTCACCAGGGGTCGGCTCCGACCCGATGGTACAAAAAGAAATATCGGTCATAAGTCGATTGGTCGGTTGGATCTTAACTTCAGTCGCTGATCTGATTGATAGTCGGCAATGTCTTACCTGTGTTGAAAGTCTTGCGACCGCTGTTCCTAATGGTTCTTTCGTGGTAAAACTTCATGTTTGGGCCGCAGTGTGTAAATAACTGAGTTCTGTGGCTACTCTTATTGTTCATTGTGAACTTTTGAGTGTGAACTTCGACCTTAAACAGCCAAGACGTCGGTTGTGACTTTAAATAGCCGCCAGTCTACAAACCGCACGCACGCACGCACGCAATGAGTATTGCTACTGCCTTTAATTAAACGTAGAGCGGATATGTGACTCTAGGATGGCTCAAGAGTCCGAAGCACGATTTCCTTCCAGTGGGTAAACAGTCCGACATGGGGGAGAAAATAAAATAAAGAATAGGTATCATTCGGAAGTCTAATTTACCAGACATTTAACGCATTATGATGACATTTCGTATGAGAACGTTATCTAACTTGACTTTTAATTTTTGGTTTAACTTTGTTTCCACGTGCGCAGAACTTTAGATTCGTGGTTAGGGTTGCAGTCATTGCTCGTCATTGCTCTGCTTCGGGATGCCCGAAACAAGAATCCTCTGTCCTAATCGCATAGCAGAATCGGTGGCCTCCCGATCCGATCTGGCACTAGAGGTGATGAGAAATAAATGTCCCTTCTATTTCTGGGAATTGAAACCGTACCGTGCACTTGGTCACTGTACTTATTGGCTAAGTTAACCTAACCAATAGTCTTTTTTACATGATCTAAAATTGATTTTTAAGGCACCGAAAGTCGCATCACTGCATTCATAAAAGCCTGCCATTGGACTGTGCTTGGAGTCCGGTCCTCATTTTGATTCCAAATCTTTAAACTCAATGTGGATATTATATTTTTATCTTCAAATATATTTACCAAATGGTTTCTTCGCATATATTTTTAATTTTGGTCACTATGTTAATTGGGATAAAAATTAGTTTGCTACGTTTCGGATGCTGAATTTGTGTATGTCTTTAGGCAAGAAGCAAGAAGAGGTAAATGTCTTTATGAGCCCGTAAGATAAACTTTTACTTGCTACCAGACGCCTCCAGGTGGTTTCAAATCTCTTTTTTTTTCGATACTTCGGAATGCCAAAAAAATTACCCAAGTGACAAAGTTCCAGAAAACGCTATGCAGAGCTATGAACGCCTGTCCACGCATTGTAAGAAGCTGTACAAGAACTACTTTAAAAAAAAATATGACACGTGATTCCGAAAAATACAGATGACTGAGTAGAGGCCCTAGTAGCACCTCTGCATGCATACGAAACTAGTTCTATGATCTGTCAACAAGAATTATCCTGATGGCAAGTGGCTAGTGGCTAGTCGGTGTAAAGGTTGTGTCCCTGTTCAAAGAACCTCTGAGTGGCTTTGGCTTAGGTGCTGTGTACAAAGAATGTTCTTGACGCGTTATGTTGAATAACAAATCATGTTTTCGTAATATATGTCTCAGTTTGTAAACACGATGCTTCTGCGCATGACAAATCTCCCGTTCTTAAGCGACAAAATTATTTTAATGACTTGTATACAGCGGCTGTTGCTTCATGTTGCATACATTAACAAAATAGCATTACGGCTACAGATTATGTCATGTTAAGTATCGTTAAAAGGATATATCAATGTTATCTTCTCTTTGCTAATATTGGTATATGAAATCCTCGATCATTGGACCGTGCCGTTATAACGCCTGTGCAGTCTCGCTTATAGTGTAGATTCATTTCAGTCCACAGTACAGAGACGTGTATCAGCTGCAATATTATCACTCGTTTTACGTGATTCTTAAACTGATCTCTTAGTCGCACTGATGACGGAGGCAGTATGACCTCTGAAACGTTGGTAAACATCTACCAGACTACACAGCGCAACAACCCAGAAGACAGAAATCTTCATACTCTGATGACGGAGGCAGTATGACCTCTGAAACGTTGGTAAACATCGACCAGACTACACAGCGCAACAACCCAGAAGACAGAAATCTTCA